CCGCCACAACCATGTTAAATCAAGACTTTGGACGGTTTCATTTTTTAGAGGACACTGGACACTATTTATCCATGTAAAACGACAAATACACTCCCATTCTAAATACTGAAACTCCGATCAGATTTTCCAAAGACATTTCAAAATCCTACCTTCTAAAAGGAGTTTTTACTTTGTTTATCACAAAACATTATCCTATTGATGTACATTTAAAATAAGCTTTCGTTCGACATATAAACTATCTCTGAACAGCAAATACATTGCTATTTTAAGTCTTGAAACTCCGAACGGATTTTCCACTGAGCTTTTCAAAATCCTACGTTCTAAAAAGAGTATTTACTTTCTTTATCGCAAAACACTATGCCATTCACGTGCATCCAAAATAACCCTTAAATTGATATATAACAAATATGGGTACCTCTGCTGTTTTATGGTATATTCCTAGAAAATATTTTTTGCATCCGTGTAGTATAGTGAGCTGGTGTATGTCTGTTACCTAGTGGCTGCGGAGAGCACGTACACGTGGCAGGTATCATTTGAAAATTTCGATATATCACTCTGACTGTTTCGTCCCCATCCTCAAGTCGAGCTTTTTTGTCGTATACGCTACTTGGTACGTGATAAATGATATCATCTTTAAGAATTTAAAAACAGATACCGAATTAGTAATATCTTCAACTTTGTTGCTTGTAAAATCGCACGAAGTATACAAAAGAACCAGTTTTTAACGTATGATGTAAACATATTTACTTAAAAAGTAAGGAAAATACAAAATTTGCACCTACAGTAACTTAATAACTTTCAGACTCAGAATCGCTAGAACTGCCCTTGGTAGTGGCTGATATCAGCGGTGCTACTAATGCTCGTGTCATTTCACCAACAATTTGAGCAAATGGATCAGTGGCCCACGCAGAATAGGTATTTGTACTTGCCACGTTACACTATACAAACTGCCATTATTTGCAATTTCTTTCGTAACAGCCAATGGTAACATAAAAACTCCGACGTCGCTGTGGATACAGACACAATAGATACTAGTCACAGTTAAGCGCCAACAACGTCTTCGCAAAATCTCCCACCACGCTACCACAAAGTGCGACGCTCATATTCTCCTATTCTCCTATTCTCCTATTCTACTAGGTAAATGTTGAGTGATAGACAGTAGATAGTATTAGAAGTAATGCATAATTAATGGATGTAATGCAGATCTAATGCATAATTAATGCTTTGAAGTGTAAAATTTTTCTCACTTAGAATAGTAGAATAGGAGAACAAGCGATTATTTCCGAATCTAAGAAATTTGCCCAGCCCTCAAAATCTTCGCAGTTACTCTGGATAATACAGATTATAATCTCCATATAATTCTCCATTTTTCGTTGGTATCCGATTTTCCAATACATTTTTATAATAATCTTCATAGATCATACGTTTTCTATCATATGATAATCCTGTAGTTTTTAATATATTTATACCTTCATCATATAAATTAAAACATCTCCCTTGATTAACAAGTTCATTAAATGTTGTTCTACAAACATAAAAAATATAACTTTCATCTGTTCTTAAA